CTGAGCTCTCTTCCTGGCCAAGAACATGATTATTCGTGGGAAGAATGATTTTTTCCTTCTTGGTCTCTCCTCAGTCACAGAAGCATCCACTTCACTGACTGAATAACATCTGTTCGGATTTGGAGTTGAGTTTACACGAAGAGCAATTGAAGCTGGATCTGAGCCGTTTATGTCTCTGCTGTCATCAAAGCTCTTCCAGTAGTGGCGTACGCTCATAGACTGGTCTTTAGAAGAAGCAGAAGCTTCATTGGCCTTCCTTCGCTGCTCATTCTCAGTTCTCCATTCTCTCAGTTCCTGCTCCATGTTCAGCTTCCCTTTTATAGCCTTCTCAGCCTTTTCAGTCGCATCTCTCAATGCCTCCTTCCTCTCTTTGATCTCCTTATAAGAAGCTTCCAACTTTTCTCTGCTCATTGATTCTGTTTTTTTGGCATCCTTAATCAGGTCCACCGCCGCGATCACCATCTCATTTGCAAACCTCTCAGCCTCATTAGCTCTCTTGCTAAGGGCATAATATTCTTCAAGATGAATGGTCATTACATCTTCGTAGGAAACCTGCTCACTCTCCTGCACAGCTTTGATTGCATCAAGTGACAATTTTTCAGAGGACTTGGCAGCTTCAATCTCTTTCAATACTGCTTGAAGCCTGAGCTCCATTGTGCTTGCGCTAGTCTTAGCTAGCTCTAGCTCTTCCGTGGCTCTGATTAGTTCTTGGCTTGCAGAATTAGCTTTGGATTTGGCCTGATCGGCTTCCTCAGTTTTGTCTAACAGCTCATATGGTAAATCTCTCATCTCTTCATGGGATGTCTTCTGCTTCGCGTGAACTTCCTCCTGTTCATCTTGGTTCATTTCCAAGTTGGCTTGAAGAGAAGAAATTGTCATAACTGACATCTTTTCCTTTTCCTTAAGGGAAGCCAAGCTGCTAGTTTCTTTTTCCAGTTCAGACTTGAGTGAATATGCTGCAATTCTCAGGCAATTTACTTCATCCTTCGCCTTCTGAATGCTAGCCTTCACTTCTTCAAGTTCATTCTTTGCTGCCGTTAGTACTGCTTCTTCAGTTTCTGGCTGCGCTAACTTTTGCTTCTCCTCTTGAACAATTTCAGCTTCCTGGCTGAGTTTTGTTGGCACATATGCAGCCAGCTCCCATTTCAGAGAGCTCAGAAGAGTAGATTCGGAATCCAACTTCAGCTTAAGATCATTCACAACAGAAAGCTTTTCTTCTAGAGAATGCAGCTTCTCCTGCGATTGCTTCATCTGCTTCTCCCAATTGTGAGTCTCCTGCTCCCTTTCCATTACTGCATCGAGCCTTTGCTCTTCTGCTTTGAGATGTGATGCATTTGCCGACTCGACCGCCTCCTTTGCACTTATGAGCTCAATTGTGAGCTTGTCAACTGTTTTCTCAACCTCTTTTGAGGCCAGTACAGCCTCCTCAGCTTTCTTAGCAGCAACATCCTTTTCTTTGATCAACTGATCACATTCTCTCCTCAATGTACTAAGCACAGCTTCCAAAGATTTCAGCTCATTATCTGCTTCCAAGTACCTATTTCTTGCTACTTGAACCAGTTCCTTGGCTGCCACACTGTCCTCATCGCTAATTCCTTGTTCAATCTCTTTCACACGGAGTTGGGCCAATTCAGAGTCCTGTTGTGCCTGAGACTCCTCAATCTGAGCCTTCTCAAGTTCAAGTTTCAGCTCTTCTAATTGCTTCTTAGTCATTTCAAGCTCTTGAAGCACCCTTGACTTCGCATCTTCAGCTTCTTCAACTTGTTTTAAGTAAAGAGGCACTTCTTGCTCTGCCTTCTCAAGCTCTAGCTCAAAGTTCTTGTTCCTCTATACATATTAAACAAGAAAGTTACACAAAGTTACATGTTAGGTTTGTTACAACAAGAGCCTAAATTCAAAAAATACATGTTAGGTTGTTATTTCTATGCTTGGAGTAATGCGCAGCTGCTGTATGTACTTCACACTTGGGACATTTTTATTTCTTCACTTCATGAAATATAGGCTTCGTTTTGAACGACTTTTTTACTGCTTCTTAAAGGGAACTTTAGAATAAAAATTTAATTTTTATTCAAAAATTTCCTTTAAGAAGCAATAAAAAGCCATCCCAAACGAAACTATAGATTCATACTCTAATATATACGTAAATGGCATAGCTATGACATTTTAAATCAAAAGATTAATATATGACTCTGCGTATTCTACATCTACTTATTATACTTCATATATCCCCAAACATGAAATTTCATAACATTTTAGACAACAATATGGTTTTCAGATGAATCTAAGAAAGGTCAACTGCTTACTTTATATTCTTTAGGTTGTTAGAGTTGTGGCTTTTCCTATAGCCATGAACTTCTTTAAATAAGCCTTTGTTAAGTTGTTTTTGCCAGTCCAAATATTAGAAAAAGGCATTTCTCTGTTCAGTTTACATTTTTCAGCTAATTTCCTTTTTTTCTTCAAGAAGCCGAACAGAGCTTCTTCTTTAAGCTCTGGTGTTCAAACGCTTGATCTGATTTTTCATTTTGGTATCAGAGCCACCTTCCTATTCTTGCATTGTTTCCGATCTTTTTTCTTCCTCAACTCCATTTTTTCTTCTTCTTCATTCGCACGGCCCTCCTCACCGGAGATCCACATGGAAGAACGAAGTTCTTGGAGCCAAGAAGATCCGATCTAGATGAAGCAAGGATCGACGGAAGTGCTATAATTCGTGTAGAGGTGAGATCGCTGGAGGCGTGAGGTTGGCGAAGAGCAGGACACGCAGAGGTGATCGTGCTGGGCTGTGTGAGCCGGAGGTGCTCACGGGAACAGTAGGCGCACGGTGGTGTTGCACACGGAGGCTGGCCGGAGACGGGCCGGAGGTGAACGTGGTGCGAGAAAGAGGCGTGAGGCGTGCAAGGGCGCTGGACCAGCGAGCGGCTGGGCGCGGAGAAAGCACGGGAGGAGGCTGCTCGGGATTTCGCCGGAGAGAGCTGTGGCTGTATTAACGGTTTTTTGAACCGTTAAGCAGCAAAGCAGCACGCCGAGGATCTGCATGTGTTGAGGAGCAAAGCACAGAGGTCTTTTCTTTAAGATCTTGATTTCTTCGTCATGTCGATGCAAAGGCTGGAGATCGACAAGTTCAAGGGCGAGAACGATTTTAGTCTATGGAGGATCAAGATGAAGGCGCTTTTGGTTCATCAAGGCCTTTCCGATGCAATCTTTGAAGAGAATTTAGCTGCAATCACCGATAGAGCCAAGGCGAGAGAAATCCAATTAAAAGCGCACAGTATCATCCTTCTCTCTATCGGTGACGAAGTCTTAAGAGAGGTTGCTGAAGAAGACACGGCATTGAAGGTATGGAGGAAGCTAGAATCAATTTATATGAAAAAGTCTCTTACAAATAGATTGTTGTTGAAGAAACAATTGTATACACTCCAAATGGAAGAAAATCAAGAACTCCGGAAGCATTTGGACGATTTCAATAAATTGATTCTTGACCTCAGAAATGTGGATGTGAAGATTGACGAAGAAGATCAAGGGATCATACTCCTCAGCTCTCTACCGAAGACGTATGAAATGACAGATTGAAACGGTGCTGCTGTGTCGATAAGGGACCTGTTCGGATCAATGAGTTTTGTCGAAGAATCGGGTAATTCTGGTTCTGATGATTGGCTCCAGTAACCATGCTTGTTGGTTGATAAATCTTGATGAGCAGTATTAAGGCCATTGTTGGTGTTTAGAGGGTCGATTGTTGCTCTCACACCATCCAATGCTTCTGAGTTTCCATTGCTTGAATCTAAAGATGCTGAAGGAGAAGGGAAAAATTCTATAGAGACATTTTCTTGTTGATTTTTTGTTTCCTCCATTGTTTTGATTTCTGAAATAAAATTCAACAATGGATGTTATTATTTTTAACAATCATTGCAATATGACACAATAATATACACTAAAGAAAAATCGCACATTACAGGTGGATTTTTTTGGCGGCTTTCCTGCGGTCTATTTTCCAGCGGCCTTCCGGCGGTTTACAACGAAAATATGTTCGACTATTTTTTTTTTGTGCAGATTTTCTGGTGATTGTCCAGCGGTGATCCGGCGAAAAGTGACACTTTTAACACTTTTGTCCTTCCGATAAACTGGTTTTGGGCTTTGAAGCATACTCACTTCGAATCTCACAACAGGCGGGGAGCCAAGCTAGTGGACAGGATGCGGGCAGCCTAGCAGGCAGCACAGGAGGGCAGTGGGTAGCGTGGGAGGCAGCTAGGGAAGTTGGCAGCACGGGAGTCAGCCAGGAGGGCAGCGGGTAGCACAGGCGGGCGGGGAGTCGAGCGGCTTCATTTTTTTAATATTTTTTTTTTAAATTTTTCAGGAGCTACAGTCGCCAGAAATAAACCGCCGGAAAGCCCTTGAAAAATCCCATTACTGTTGAAACTGCCGGAAATTCGCCAGTTTTGTTGGAAAAACCACCGGTAATGATAAATTTTCTAGAGTTTATTCTAAGAAAAGAAGAATCCACTATATCAATCATCTTAAAACAAATCCTATAAGTACAAAAATCAATCATAATCACATCTAATAAGATAACCTTAACACAAATTTTGTCCTTTGTCTCATTAAACAACAAGAATAAATTGTATATTTAATGCTACAGTAGCAGAGTTAACGACATTCCAAGCTTTTGTATCAAACAATTTAACTATAAACCATTTAAAATCTGTGAATGAAGCAAGGCGCTTCCTTGGCGGATCTTACAGAAATGCCTTCCCAACTAAAAAAGAAATTACAAAATGTGCATGTTTTCTTCAACTGATTCGACGAAAGTTAGGGCATTTATGCAATTAAAGAAGAGAAATAAGCCTTACAAATATGCTTTTCCAGGTATAATTTCTTCACCTTCTCTCTGCCCGTTGTTTTCTGCAAGTGAGGAAATGAAGAGGATTATAAGAGAGAAGGAAGAGAAAGGGAAGAAGAAGCCGTGGAGAGGAGAGGAGAGGAAATCCGAAATCCTTCACTGTCTAAACATTCTCTTCTTATTTTATCCTTTTGTTTCTTTGTTCATATATATTTTCTTATTAAAATTGTTTTATCGTACTATTTTTTTCTTGCCATCTTTTATCTAATTTTAGATATTTGCTTATTTGTATTAAATTTTTACGTGAGGTGGGGGAAGAGCGAGCTGCGTGGACCACTCAATCCATGGATTCAGAATAAATTGATAGCACTGGCGCTCCCAAATTTTAGTCTTTTCTTGCCTGTAATTTTTTTTCTTGAACAAATTCAGGCTGTGTAATCTCTGCTTGAAAATGGTTTTTTGTGTGCCTCATTGGTAGGATCAGCCTCATAATAGTAATAGAATGGGGAAGTGGAAAATGGGTTAATTTTAATGTGTTATAGGCTTTGTTTGAGCTAAGTTAAAATTGTCTTTTTTATTTGATTTGAAATAAAATGGATGTAATATAAAGTATAAAAAGGGTGATGATAGGTGGCTGATATTGATGGTTCTGGTGGCTAGCGGCGAAAGTTGACGGCTGGTGATTGTGGTGGTTGCATCTTTAGCAGTCGGCGATGGTGTGGTGGGTGATGCTACTCGGCGACGATCGGTGGTGTTGCTCGGCGGTGATGGGTTGCGGTGTTGGCCGGAGCCAGTGACGAGCGGCAAAGTTGGACGTCTTTGGTGGTTGGTGGGGGCCTGTAGCGGCGTAAGATGGGCCACATAGTTATAGTTGAAATGAAACATTGATTTCAATTTGAAATAATTATAGACTTGAAGTTTGTCTTATGATTTTTTTAGCTTAATATTATAGATCATTATCATATTGTTATTTGACAATTCAGTTATTTATTTTTTTAAAGAAATTTTGTGATAATTTTTTTATATAAAAAATAATTATATCAAGATATCTATAAGATACAACATAATGAACTTCAAAACTTTTGAATATTTATCAAATTTAATGCATTAAGAATATTATGTATAGCATTAAGGTTAACAATGTATATGATATCCTGAATTTCATTACTCTTAATATAAATCAATAGGCTTAATTTAAAACAAATTATGATCATTCACATGAGGATATTCAATACAATATTTTGTCATTTTACAATCAGATCATTTGAATGTGGTAATTCTGTAAGAAAAAAATTTGCAATGCTGATTATAATTTTCAAAACCTTTTTTTTACTAATAATCTCACAATTAACTCTTCATAGCTACAAACATCCCAAATGGACTCTATTATACTATTTTTCTACTACAAAATAAATTTATGTATGATTGATCAATTTTACCATTAGTTTTTCATATATTTTTTTTATTTATGAGGGTACTCAGACCTTAAGAAGGCAAACCTTGCAAAGAAAAAAAAACAAGGCTTTGGAATATTTAAACTATAAATTAATTTAAAACTAAACCAAAATCAAAATTTTTTGTTTGATGGTTTTAAACGTCATCTATTAAAAGTTAAACTAATATTGAGTGGAAATATGATCATCCTCTTCTTTATTAGGATGGTGGTGCTGTTGGTTTTGTGTCTACTGATGTGGTTCCGGTTGGGATTGAGGCGGAACTTCTGCTTCTGGGTACAGAGGAAGTTCTTCCGATTGCAAACAGTTTAGTTGAGGTGCATGTGACTGAGGTGGATACACATGTGATGGCTAACTGTGTGGGAAATTCCTCTGGTTTGGAGATTAGGGACCAGACTAATTGGTTGATTGACTCGTCGGATGTTGACTCGGAGTCTGAATCTCTTGAGACCGATCATGATTTTGCTCTGGTGCATACTTCAAATGTTGCCACTCGAGGGAAATTTTGGGGGAGAGGTCGACGTAGAAGATGAATTCTCGTATCGTTATTTGGTTTTTCTTGCTGATTCTTCCTTGGGTAACTTCGGCTTTTCTGTTCGTTTTGCTGATTCGTGAGGTTAGAGCAATGATGGGGTCGGGGCTCGCGTCCCGGTCGTGTTTGCTGGTGGCAACCGTTGGTGTGGATGGACGTTTCTACACTTTACTGGAGGGTCCGTGCGGGACGTCTTGGACGCTGGAAGCCCTGACTAATTTCTGAGCTCTCTTTTAGCTTTTTTTATCTCTGTTGTTTGGTCTTCTCTTTTGCTAGTTTGTTTTTTTATTACTTTTGTTGTTGTAACCTCTTTTTGACTTATTTATAATATTCTGGTTGGATTAAAAAAAAAAAAAAGATTTGCGAGAGGATGAATGATTATATAACTTTAAAAGAAATAGGAATTTGCATGTACAACACTTAAAATTTTTCTTATTCATATGTTTAACACTTAAACCTCAATATTTATATACTCTAACATCTTATCTCCATTAGCTTATCCTAGTGAGTTCCATCACGACTTCCTGCATCTGCACCATCGATATCTTGCCCTAGCGAGCTCTGTCGCGCTTTCCTTTTTTGATGCCATAATGGGTTTCCCTAGCGTGCTTTGTCACGGCTTCTTACACCGAGGTTATCATTGCCTTGTCTTAGCAAGTTTCATTGCAATTTCTTTTTTCCTATGCTTGTGTCGTCGATGCCTTGCCCTAGTGAGTTGTATCACGAGCAGGGAGCTCCATCCAATGATATAGACAAAAGCGATAGAATTAGCAGTGTGAGAAGATAGGACCTACTACATATAAGCGCATGGGAGATGAAATTTTAATTAAATGATATTTTTTTAATATTTGAAAAGTTAAGTATTATGTGAATGAACAATTAACTCTGGACATTACATATGTAAATCAAAGGTATTGACTATTGAGTGTTGCGTTAAATCACCCTAAAAAGATATATATGATGAGGCAAATATGTGCATGATTGCATGAATGCCAATTACACTATTCTAAAAAGATCATATTTCTCTAAATACTGTTTTACAAACTTCATGAACTTTGATCTTATTATAAATATATCTTTTATAAAGAGAACACTACTTATCAACTATCTCTCTGTATCAATAATTTTGAAAAATGAACAGAAAAATATATATAAAGAAAGAAATATTTAGATTCAAGTAGAAAACTTTGGATGGGTAAAACATCATCAACATAGGAGAAGCATTCACTAAGCCCTAAAATTTACACAAGAGAAGAGTGATAGCTCACATAACCACAAGACCCCTAATTACATGTATATAAATATGTTGGTATAAATAATGAATATTATTAGGGAGGGTTTGCCTCTCTTTCCATATGTCCAATCCCTTCGCCATCACCACATATCTTTCAAAAAATTCTCATAATTGTACTTAGACAACATATGTTGCATCTTGAGCTTAATTTCTAACTTGAGCCCAACGAAATTCGGGTTGATGATATGTTGGTCAATAAATTCATCTTGATATAAAATTTACATCAAAATATTCTTCACAAACATCTTATTTTCTTATTTAGTATAATTTTTTATAGATTTCACATCTACCACGACAAATTCAATGGCTAGGCATTAGCCTTTTTAGAAAATCTTTAATTTATAATAAGAAAAGAAACATATTGTCACGCCCCAGAATTTAATTTGAAATAGTTATTTCTTTTATCTTTTAATAACATCATCATTTTATTCAGAAAAAAACATACAAAATTCAATAACTTCTATTTTATTAGGTGAAATTCTAAAATGTCACAGTCAAAATCTCCAGAATAATCATTACAATATCATATAAAACGTTAAGCAATAAAAGTTCAATAAATTTGGGGGAAAATGCAATAAAATCAGTTCTGGGGAGAATCAAATAGTTTAAATTAAAATTTTTGAAAAATAGATATAGGATTAGAATCGCCTACCTAGATCTGAACATTTTTTGTAAAAATGATAAAGCGAACCAGAGACCAAAAATCCAAATTTATCTTTCTCTCCATTGCGTTGTCATTCAAACAGGAATTTTGATTTTTCTACTTTCAATTATTTCAAAAATTCAGATTGTTACACAAGCTACCAATTCAAACAAGGCCAAATATTTAAAATAATGTCTTAATGTATAAAATTATGAAAACACACACTTGATTGAATTTTTTTAAAGTAGACCCCAATTAAAATCTCTCTCTAGAAAATCTCAGCTAGGGCTCATTTAGACTTCATTTGGCTATCAATTGTTGATTAAATTGATTGCATCAAGAAGTTGTTGTGGAAAAGAAAATTTTAAAGCTATTGTGGTTGAATTTGATGGTGTTTGAATTACATGATTTGTGTATGTTGTTTGAAACTCAAAACATTTTATATATTTTCATATTTCTTTCAATTTCTCTTCATTCAGTAAAATTTTCCATTGCTCTATAATTATTTATCCATCTTGTTTGTTTTTCAGGATCTCTAAGTTAGGAAGATTATTGGTGGACATGAATATGTCAAACCTTGTGAAGTTTATTGCTTGATGAATGATGTCCCCCTTCTATCTTCTTTTCCATCAAACGATTTCATAAATTTAGCATTATCATTTAGGTAATCCTTCACCACCCAAGCATTGGGATTTTATTATTATTCCTTCATCTCTGTATAAATTTAAGTGTAATACATTATATGTGAGCTCAATAAATGTTATGGGTGCCTTTTCCTTCTAATATGTCACAACATGGTTAATTGACGCAATTATATTCCACACAAAACTAACAGTGGAATCAAAATCACTTAGGACCTACTCATGATTGTGCAACAATGTCGATCAAGTATATATAGAAATTACGCATCACAAAGAAATTTTTTGATCCATTTTACAATTTGTTAGCATCTCAAGTCTTAGGTTTCGTTTGGGACGGTTTTCTTACTGCTTCTTAAAGCGGCTTTCTAGTACTTTCTAATTTTTGTACTAAAAGCCGCTTTAAAAAACAGTAAAAAAGCCGTCCCAAGGCTTCGTTTGGGACGGCTTTTTCATTGCTTCTTAAAGCAACTTTCTAGTACAAAATTTTTATTTTTTGTGTTAGAAAGCTGCTTTAAGAAGCAGTGAAAAAGCCGCCCCAAACGAAGCCTTAGTCAAAATTATGTGCAAGTTAGAAATATAACCGAGTTTTTTTGTTTTTTGTTTTATATATCTAATTGGAGCCATGACAATTAGTTTTCTTTGATTTTAGCTTAATGGGTTACGGTGCTAATAGGGCAACTTATTTTCTTCAAATCAGTTTATTCAAATTGCTGAATGGATTACATTTCAGGTTACTATAAAGAACGTTTCTCTATTAAAAAAGAGTTCCGTAGTAACTATCAAATCAGAGATTTTTATACCTTATTACTTGGCTGGAAATTATCACAGCAATTTATCATACAAACCTTCTGATTACTTAGAAATTATAATAAACAAGCTGCCTTTATTTTAGCTGCTCTTGCAATATATACAAGATTATTATTGGCCATGATTGCTTACATTTGTTAGCATAATAGCACATATTGTATTTATCCCACATGTACACTCTCCCTTTTCTCTTTCTCTTTTACACTTATATAAGTCCTGTAACCAATACTCTGAAACATCAATAATAATATACAAATTCATCTTCTCTGTTTCCCTTCCTCTGTCCGCTTTCTTGCCCTGCTCCGTTTCTCACAACATTTTCTCCCACACAGCGTAATTATTACCAGAGGTTGCTAATTTGAAATTAGAAGGAACAAGATTCCCAACATCATATCTTGATCCAATCTTCGCTATAATCTTCTCATCAATGGCTGCCATATACAGATCGCTGTCATGAGCTATTATTCGCAGGTTGCTACTTGGGTTTATCCCGTTCCTGGTTCTTATAGCTGCAAGCTTGCTTATCTCGTCCTTCAGTCCCCACAGGAAAATATGATCATAGAACTGCAAAAATAGAAGAGCTGTTAATGGTAGCTATTCCAAGCAGGAAAAAAAAAAAAAACAAATTGGGTTAGGATAGCTCATAAAACTGTTGGAGTTGCTTCTAAATGAAGCTTAAGGTTTCGTTTGGGATGGCTTTCTTACTGCTTCTTAAAGTAGTTTTTTAGAATAAAATCTTAATTTTTGCATTAGAGAGCCGCTTTAAGAAGCAGAAAAATGCCGTCCCAAACGAAGACTAAGTCTTGGCTAAATCTTGCAACTAAACAGAATACAATCATTGATGAATTTCAAGGATATTCAAAGAGATAGAAACTCACAATGGAAGGAATTCCTGGATGTGTAACAATATAAGCATATCCCTGCATTACTTTATCAGAAGGGAAAGGCCAAAGCTTCTGAGTAGAACCAGTATCATGATTATCAACAAAAGTGACTGCATTTCCAGGCAACCACCCAATCAACCCTGGCGCTTTCCCATTCACATCAATCAATCTCCATAGCTCTCCTTGCACTGCAGCTTGCAATATTCCCTTTGTAGTAAAATCAAACGCCGTAGCCTTCCCTCCAACACCATTCACCCAATTAACCAACTCCTGCCTATTCCCATCTTGATTGTAACTCAGCTTCCCATCTCCATCATAAGCCAAAGAGCTCCAAATCTCTGAAACCGCAAAGCTTGGCACCGTCTTCTCCAAATAGATCTTGGCCATGGCCGCCGAATACCCCTTGGCGAAGTCGAACCGCCAACCGTCGAAGCCGATGTCGGTTTTTAACCAATTCAGCCAATCTGAGAGTTCTTGCTGGACTCTTGGATTGAGATGGTCGATGTCAGGTGCCGGCGGGTAACCGGCGCCGGTGTCTGGGTTGCCAGTGCCATCAGAATAGGTGGTATCATCACTACATATCATGTGAGGTCCCCAGTCCAGACGAGTATCTGGTGTCCCTCCTTCAAAGATGCAGTATATGCCTCTTGAGTCTTGTTTCTCTGCAGTTCTGTGGTTTATGACAATATCAGCAATGCATTTGATACCTTGGTTATGGAAGGCTTGGATTAGGGACTTGAGGCCTGCTTGGTCACCATATTTTGAAACGTTTAGATCATATAGCCTTCCTGGCAAATAACCTGAGAAGGAATACAAGTTCTGTTGAGAAATATGTGAAATTTAATATTATAGGAAGTCAAGATTGATTGATGGCTACATTTTGTCATCATCACGATAGATTTCACTTTGATTTTGATTATGGACAGTTACATTCCAAATTTCTATAATACAACATAAAAATGATGCTCCTAAATGAAAAATTATGGCAGTTGAAACTATGTGAAAATCCTCAAAACATACCTTAATTAGGGTAATTGAAAGCTGGCTTGTGAACAAATTTACATAGCTTTCTATTTTCGTAAAATAAAAATTAGGCTCCACAACTTAGCAGTGAACAAGAAATATAGGTTTTGTTTGGGATGACTTTCTTATTGCTTCTTAAAATAACTTTTTAGTACAAATTTAAAAAATTTATGCTAAGAAGCTACTTTAAGAAACAGTAAGAAAGTCGTCCCAAACGAAGACATAATAAGAGAGAATCAACATAATAAAGCTAAGTGCTAAGGCTATTAGGGAGTACAGAATCAAATGGATATCATAGACCCATGGCAACTCTCTTTAAGTAATAATTAGTAATTACCACTATTTTTTCTTCCAAAGTTTTTCTTACTGCTTCTCATTCTTACCACTGTTTTTTATTTAGATTGAAAGAAAACAAAGGAAAATGGAATCTCAGTAATTTATGGTTTGATAAAGCATCTTCAGACTTCAGCCATAGATTTTAGTTTTTCAAAATTTATGGATTGATTTTACCCTAACATATCCTTCTGCCAACTTATTCAAGAATCAATAGCACTTTAAAGCCAATTATGCACCGAAGAAAAGACATTCAAGAAAAAAAAAAAAGAAAAAAAAGCAGAACAGATGGTCAAAACCTTGCTCAGAAACAGAATGAGAAGCAGGAGGAAGCCACACATGTGTAGCCCCAGAGGCAGCGATATCTGCTACTTGGGTTTTCAGTAAGTTATACCATCCTCCTTGTTGCTTCCATGATTCCCAATTGAAGCCCTGCGAACGAGCCAAAGTGAGCATGGCGACGATTCTGTAACGCATAATCTCCAACTGTTAGAGCTTCGAGTGATCGAAAATTACGCGCTTTCTTACCTGGAAAAGAATCTGTCCCAATCCTGAATGTGGAAAAACAGAGAGAAGAAGCAATGGAACCAAGGCTTGGAGAACATGAGTGTGAAAGTTCCTCATGTCTGTCCACTTTCTTCTGCCCGAACTCGCAAGTTATCCTTACATATATATATGGAACAGAGCTGGGGATAAGATACACTCGAGTTTTCAGGGACCACTGGAGAAGACTTTTTCAGTCTGATTTTTGCGTTTACATATGTTCAAACTTGAAAAAAATGTTCTTTTGATCTTTGCTTTTTGTCTTTGTCCGTTGAATAAAGATTTAGAAAAGCATTGCCAGCCAAATGAAAACCCGGTTTCAGACTTAATTTTTCTTTTAGGAACGGGATATCTATCGGTTGCCATCCCTGAAAGGTGCTTGACGGCGTAACTAACTCTCGGCTGATCTAGAAGAGTCACTCACCCCAGAAACCTCCTGACCCGCATTTGATTGGGCCCCACTTAAAAGTCGTTGCTGCTCGAGGGGAATCGAGCACGGGTTGGGGGTTGGCCCCAACCGTACTCGCCCACCAACCAAGCTAATCACCGATGGAACGGTTTCAGACTTCATAAGTTTAGGAGACTGGGTAATTGAAAAATTAATCAATATATTGCGTTCTAACTTATAGGTTTGAAGATGTTTAAATATTTGAATTATAAATATTGGCAATTGATATTATGTTTATTTAAATTTTATTTTCAATAAATTTATAATTTAATGAGTGCAGTTCGACAAGATGAATCTAATAATATCAAGAATTGTTTGATTAGAGCTGAAATGGGCATAAATCAGATACTGAGGAATATAAATAGAAATTTTCTTGAGGGCTCAAATGACTTCAAAATTTTATGTTTGGTCAAAATGACTAGAAATAAGATATTATCTATGAAGTCTAACGTCACTCAATTTTAATATTATTAATAAAATGGTTAGGAGATGAATTCAACTTTCTGGTTGTATTAACTCCTTGCAAAAAATAAGCAATATGTTGCATCCATAAATATCTATATTTAGCCCCTACTTCTAAACATTAGGGAGGAAACTTTTGGGTGAAAAATGTTCTGACTTGGAGTTTCATAGCCTCGGTAGTTGTTTGAAACCGCATTTTATTGTCTTTGAGATGTTGTCGGTGTGGCTTCTCTTATGCCTTTCTAATTGCTTGGTCTTCCTCTATGTAGAAGGATGGTCGCACCAACCATTTTTTTGTGATGCTAAAAAATTTAATTTGAAAGAATTATTATTTTATCTTTTAATGTGCAATAATCATAACTACCTAATTTTTTTTATCAATATAAATACTAGTTGTCATATATATATATATATATATCAACATTCATTTCCTCAAAAATCATATACACTACTCAGGATCTATACAATCATATAACAACTACTCTATCATGAATATAAAACAATAGCTAAAATAATAAGCACTTGAACTTGAAGGATCATTGTCAATCTCACACCATGCTCCCTTGTCCTGACATAAGATCATTTAACCATATATAATGACGTGAGATTATTTTGGAGAATTATTGTTTTATCATTTAATGTACAATAACCATGACTACATAATTTATTTTATCAATATAAATTCTAACCGACATCAATATAGGCATTATTATTCATTTTCCCAAAAATTATGTACAATACTCAGAATTTATACAATCATATAATAACTACTCTATCATAAATATAAAAGAATAGCTAAACTAATAAGCACTTGAACTTGAAAGGTCATTGTCAATCTCACCCCCATGCTTTCTTGCTCTGACCTGAGATCATTTAACCACATATAATAAACTAAAGAGCCAAAAAAGTAACCAAATCCTACAATTAAACTCAAAGCACACAACAAACGAGCAATATGCATGTTGGCAATCAAATCATAACAGAATCATTTACATGATCATAAATAAATACATAAATAATAAAACTCACATATGATAATAGTAAGGCATCAGTAGAGTCTGTAAGCAGTATAACAGTACGGTAGAGAAATCAGTAAAACAATACAATGAAATTTGTAACTTAGTACCTGTAACGCCCCAAGATCTAATTTGGAAAGAATTTCAAGCAATCCATCAATAATTTACCAGAGCTATCTATAACATCAATCAAACAGTCTAACAAAACTCTATAACATTTATAACATCAATGTACAAGTCGATTCAAACATCAAAAGATCATATACAATACTCAGGAGCTATACTATGAACTGACATCTATCCAGTACTGAGTACAAAAGAATCACTATAACCAAAAAGGACAAAAACTTGGAGATTCCTGATCAACCTCAATCTCTCGCTCCCTTGCCCTGACCTGAAAATATTAACCATATATAATGAGCTTCAAAAAAACTGTCAAAAATCACTTTACGACCTCTAAATCCTAACTTTTATTTTCTCTCTCATCACTTTTCTCTCTTATTTCTCTAATTTCATTCTCTATTAGCCGACATAATAAGGGAGAAAAGGGATTTATGGTTTAAGGTAATGGCTTAAGATATTTATAATAAATATCTTTAGAATTTAAATATAATTATGTAGATTATTTAATTTTAAATAAAAAGATTACATAAATCCTTTTATATCTTCAAATTTAGAGCTCTAAAAAATATAGAAAAATATCCATAAAATAATCCATCATCTTTAAAAATTTTTGGTGACATCAGTTTATAAAACGTACACCCGATTGTCCTAAAATCACAACTTATGCCTATATGCATTAATTTCTTAAGGATTCATATTAATGCCCAAAAATAGAAAAATTTAGTGTAATTAAAGCACTACAATATATATATTATGACGAAGACGGTTTGTAATTTAGACTTATAATGACTAAAAAAAAAAATTATTTGATTGGGCCAAAACATGAGTTATTACATTTATAGTGCTTACCTTCAATTCTATTCGTTGTTGATTGTTGGTGATCGGTGCTAGTGCCTTTTGTTACCCATCCATCGTCAGTTATCATCTATTGAAGCCAACATATAACATCTTCCACCTTCGAGGGATGCTAGCAACCTTCTTCATTATTTTCCAATATTCTCCGAGAAGATGAACCCAATCACACTAAATTCAGTTCAATCCAAGTCTAAGTGATCCCAAATCAAAGGATCAAAATCGACTTGAAAGCTTTAAAACATTAATTGTGTAACCAAATAATATTTGAACTGAACGGTTCAATGAGAAGAATCCAACGAGCTCATTATCACTCAATTTTGACATCTCTAGAGCATTTAAATGCTTGATAAATACTCCACGATCAAGGGGATCACTATGATTCATCCAATGAAACACTCAAATATGCCCTTGATCTTCTCTATATTTACTAAGCATGACACTAAAAAAACTATAATTAAACCCCTCATTCTTCATATTGGGGAGGAAGAAGAGAGAAGAAAAATTGAACTATAGCTGCCGCTAGCCACCAAATTACTTCCCAACCACCGACCATCGTCGAATTTATACCCGTTTGTTAGCTGATTCCGGATTTCTTCCAGACCATCGACCGTATTTGAATTTTTGCTTGTTCATTGGTCACCCTCCAGATTTATTTTCGATCACCAATCGTCGCCGAACTTTTGCTTGTTCATTGGCCGCCAATGAATCTCTTCACAACCCAACCATCGACCATAATCAGACTTCCACCCATTCGTTGGGCATCGTCATATCTTCAACCGGCGTTAGACCTCTGTTAAACATTCTCCTAACTGTTGCAGCCAAATTTCTAACTTATGTCATTTATTTGAGCTATAGAATACCCATCCTAAGTTTGACAAGATCTTTAACATATTATATTCAGTTGTCCTCGAATTGAAAGACATGCCAACTTTTGTAACATATTTAAATAATAATGGAATCATTTCAACTGAGCAAGTCCTTATGATTTTTTCCTTTATAGAATTTTCCATGTAACAATATTGGGGTTTCATTGTCATCTTAATTGCATGTTTGTTTGCTGAGTTTTTGTTAATCGCTAAGATGTAAAATCTTTATATTCTATTGCCGCGAATTTTTCAGCCCGTAATAAGAGGGTTCCTGTAACCATTAGTATTAGGGGAGGAGGCACATGAGCCAAAGCTCATGAGTTTCACTTTCACATCGTTGTTTCTTGATGCACTAGTTCTTCCTAAGAGGCTTATTTATAGCCTACATGAAAATATAAAGACTCACTAATAAGTTAATAATAATAATCTAATACCCACTAAATAACATTAAATTATTTGTTTTCTAACATAAATATTCGAGCATGCAACCTGCATATAATTATAATGTTGAAAATTTTATTTTAGTTTATACCATATAAGTAAAAGAAAATATTGTACATAACACTTGGACCGCAAATGAATTGAATTGAGCTTAGCCAAATAGAAGATAGCTCGAGCTTGAGCTAATTTTTAGAACTGAGCTTGGGCTCGATTTGAGCACGTGTAGTTGTTTTCATTCTTAATTCGTTTAAAATTGTGGTTATTGAGCTCTATTGATCTCGACTCTTTAACTTATCAAAAGAACTTTATTGACTTATTAATGAGCATTGAACACGTCTTATTGAGCTTACTAATGAATAACTTATTGAATTTAAACAAAAACAAAAAAAAAAAAGATTTTGATTGAATGAACTACTATATAAAATAAACAAATACTTTAAATAAATAAATAAATCACATATTAAATAAATTTGTAACTAGTGATTCCTAAATGTGGACATTATCAAGCTTTAATTAGTCTTTTAACCAACTTATTCAAGAGCTTTAAATAATACTATTCATCAATATGAATAAATCAAAATTAAGATGTTCAACTTTATTCATTTTTATTAACAAAATATTTATTAAAAACATTTAAAATTAATTAATTAATAAGTAATGATTATGAATAAATTTTAATTGAGTCAAATCATAAATTGCTTGTCACACATATTATTTAAGATTCGTTTGGGATAACTTTTTTATTGCTTTCTAAAATAGTTTTTTAGAATGAAAAATTTGAGTTCAAAGCGTAAAAAAATTGTACCAAAGGAAGCTTTAATTTACAGTCTCACCGGATGCGGAGCTCGGAATGGAAGAATTGTCCAGATATGTTGGTACACAGTATGTAC